GGCACTCACTGAGTCTGCCTCTTGAGTGTGTCACTTATGGATGTGAGGAGTTGAAATCTGGTATCGTCTCACACTGACCACTGGATACACTGGCTCCTGGATCTCCAAGGAGATGCAAAGTCAGCCACTGCCTAAGGCCACCCAGCAAGAACTACAGCGAGATCTGCAGATTTCTCCTCTTAGTTTGGGGTTTGGAAGTTTTGGAGCTCTCTGACCCAGCTGCAGTTTGCTAGGTTAGGCTGCAAAAGAACAGGGCATTCATATGCAAAAGCCATTGTGCACAGCTTGGGTGGGGTTATAAATTGAGTGGGGCAGGGTCTCAGGGACTCACCAGGGCGGAGCAAACAGCAATGGCTGCCAGTCAGCCATCTCCATGTCCCGTGCCCCCAGGCAGTAACAACAATCCCTGAGAGCACCTCTGCAAGAAAGTTACCCTCACTTTCTGACCCGATGCCAGACAGTCCGGTTTCTCCCCGTAGGAGTCTGGAACCCCAGAGTATCGCAGGAAACTGGAGTTCAGAGCAGTCAGGAGCTTGTATCTCCCTTCTGAATGAAAAAAATAGCACACCCAGTTGCCAGCCCATTTCACGCGCCTTCCTACCTCCGCTCTTCTGTGCCTCCACACCTTGTAGCCAGTCTCAATGTGCTTTGTTTCTTTCCTTCTAGTTGTAGAACTTCCACTCAGCCAGCTTTCCTGTGGTTCTGGATGATAGCCATTTTGTCTTTTAGTTGTAGTTTTGATGTGGTTGTGAGAGGCAGCATGCACAGGTGTTTACCTTATGCCACCATCTGGGTTCCTCTATCACTGGTTTTTAAAAATTATTACTAATGGGAGATTTACAGCATAACCCTCTGTGTAAACATAATGCTTATAAGCATATATTTTAATTCAAAATAAAACTTTATGAGATTCTCATTTCACCAAGTAGAAATACAAATAATTATTTCTGATGTCTTAAAAAATTGTTAAAAATCTGCGTAATTAAAAAAATTGGAAGCCTGAACCAAATTATTTAATCATTCAAAATTATTCATTGAGCACCTTGCCAGGAGGCATTCTGCTAGAGTTGGGGATGCAGTACAGCAGAGGGATACAGACCTAACACCCTGAGCAAACCACTGAAGTCAAGATTCTGAGTGGGCAACATCAGTTAGGATTGCCACTTTACCAAATATTGTTTTGAGAAGGCTTGTTTTTGTTTAGACTCTACATTATAATAAAATCCAGCACGCCAAGATTTATAATTCTTGGTTTATGTGCTTTCTTCTTAAGTAGAATAAAAGCTCCTTGAATAAAGTGATTGCCTTGTAGACCACTAGATATTTATGCGGGTTGCAAGGTGCTTATTTCCAGGCAGGTGCTGAGTGACTTTTGGGTAAATATTCATTTGGGTATATATCAATGCAAGTCAGAGGAGATTTTTCTTTATGTTTCCAGGTTCCTGTGGTCTCTGTGATGGCTACTGGTTCTTCCCTAAGGATAATGGAGTAGTAGTTTATACTGTTATACAGGGCATAGGAGATTCTGAAAATCAAATAAAGCCACTAATGAGATGTCAGATATATGAATGAGGTGGGATGTGGCTTAGATAGAAAAGCGATTATTCGGGGAATATTTAAATTTGGCAAGAAAGGGCAAGAGTTACAGAAAAGAGCAGGGGCATAAGAACATCAGGTAGGAATAGGAAAGCCAATTAGTTTTATGCTTTTATTGTCTGAATGAAAATAAAATGTCCCCAGAGGTAAATTGACTTTTCAATGCCACATAAGACTTATGTATTCTATAGCGGCTGAATTAGAGAAAGATGAACAGAATGAAGGCTGATAATGAGGGGAGATACTGAAAGCCAGAGAAGAGAGTCAGAACTGGAGGGGAAACGAGAGGCTGAATTGGTGTTTAGGGTTTAGGGAAGGAGCACTGGAGTGTGTTTTTTGTGGGGTTTTTTTTTGTGTGGTTTTTTTTTGGTGGTTTGTTGGTAGAACAAGGAAGTCAGAATAGAGATATTGTGGGGTAGGTTTATTTAAAACACAAATCGAAGACAAACTTTCTGAGAGAAAGAAATAACATCTGTAACTGAAATGCTGTTTCTGCAGATTACATTGCTAGCAGTTCTCCTCGCAGCTGGTGACAATGAAGATGGTAAGAATTCTAGCAACTACCCAGTTCAGGGTTGGGGTGGGGGGAACGTGCGGTGTGTATGCACATTGTCCTCACGGCATACCTGGAGAGTGAGAATGTCAGCACAGTTCCATTCTGAATATACCATATTCTAGGACCCTGTGCTTTTCTGAAGGCTGTTTGTAAAGCATGGGGCCTTGGGCAGGTGAATGTTTGCTGAGATAACAATGGCTTCCCTTATCTCCAGATTTTGAGTTTTCCCTTTCTGACACCTTTCTTCATTCTCTCTCCTTCCCAATATCTTTTTTTCTCCACATTATGTCTGTTCTTTTGACACAGCCTTCCAGGAGCAGATCTCCTTCCACATGATCCATATCTCATCCTTCTACAATCATTCCTGGACACAAAACTGGGGCTCTGCTTGGTTGGGTGAGTTGCAGACTCATGGCTGGAACAGTAACTCTTACAGTATTATTTTCCTGCGGCCTTGGTCCAAAGGCAACTTCAGCAAGAAGGAAATAACAGAAATGGAAAAGTTCTTCCGAAGGTTACACACCGAATTGCCACTTGTAATTCGCAAGCATGTCAGTGAATGGAAGTTTGAGTGTAAGTTCAATTCCCAAAATGTGGAGGTGCAATGTGGGTGGGATGTGCGTGTCTCAGTGAGTTTCCTATTCCGATTTTTCCCTGCATTCAATCACTTCAGCAATTTCTGTCTGTACATTCATTGTAACCTATGGCATTACATTCACCCTAGATCAGCGGTCGCCAACCTTTTGGACCTCACGAACCACCAGTGGTCCATGGACCACCGGTTGGCAACTGCTGCCCTAGATTATAATCACAACTCTCACACTAAATCCTTCTTTATTCTCTTGCTCTCATCATTTATGTCACCTTCTTTCAATTTGCTCCCTTCAATTTCCAGAAAATATGTCATTTTTCCCCCACCTTCAACTAGCACCAATTATGCATTTTCTGAACTTCTGATCAAACTAAACTTTGTTCCACTACCTCTAATACCCCAAAAACCTCTCTTATATTTCCTTTTTTGCTTCCACTAATTTCATCTTTACTCTCTCTTTCCTCTAATTTATAACCCTTCTTCCCTAGATCCCTTTGAGGTACAAATAACAGGAGGCTGTGAGCTGCACCCTCGGGAAAGCAAGGTAGTCTTCCTGAAATTTGCTTATCAAGGATCAGAACTCCTGAACTTCCAGAACAATTCATGGCTGCCATCTTCAAAGGGTGACAATAGAGCTCAGGAGGTGTGTAGACTATTCAATCAGTACCATGTTGCCAACATAATAACACAGAGGATACTCTGGGACACCTGCCCACGTTTCCTTTTGGGCCTCTTTGATGCTGGGAAGGCAGATCTCCAGAGAAAAGGTCAGTCTCACATCCTTCTTCCAAGCATTTTCTATTCTAAACTTTACCTTCCTACGTCCCCTTTACATTGAGGAGGTTTATATCTTCACGTAAGTTTATACAGACACATCTATCAATTCCCAGCGTGGGATAGATTGTCTGTCTAAACTGGTGTGAAGATATGAACCTCCAAGTCTGTGTTAGAGTCCTTATCTGAGTATCTCTCCTGTTCTCTGCAGTAAAACCAGAGGCCTGGCTGTCCACTGGCTCTAATTCTGGTCCTGACCGACAGATGCTGGTTTGCCATGTCTCTGGCTTCCATCCAAAGCCAATTTGGGTACAGTGGATGAGAGGTGAACACCTACAACAGGGCACTCAACAAAGTGATATCTTGCCCAATGCTGATGGGACATGGTACCTTGAGGTTTTCTTGGAGGTGGAAGCCACTGAGACATCTGGCCTGTATTGCCGAGTGAGACATAGCAGTCTAGGAGGCCAGGACATCCTCCTCTACTTGGGTAAGAAACACTGGGGCCCACACTGGGAATGGGAGTAGATAATGGTCCACAAGCAGAGCAGGAGAGCCAAGTAAAACATTTGGGATTATTGGCTCCAGACCCCAAAGAATGAAAATAATTAATACAATAAATAAAAGAGCTGAAAATGAGAGACCTGCAGATGTAGAAAGATGTTGAGGTGAAAGATTCATCTCTGAAGAGAGATGAGAGAAGAAAGAGGAAGAAAGGAGATTAATGAGAACATTCCAAAGAAAAAAGGCAGACCAGGGAAGGGCAGTAAACAGGGGGGGGGTTTGAACTGACACCTTGTGTGCACCCAAAGCCACAGAACATCATCAAGGTTCCCTGGGCTGGATCATCTTGGCAGCGAAGGTGCCCCTGGTGCTTCTGACAGCTCTTGCATTTTGGCTAAGGAAGCGCTGGTGAGTTTTTTGTGCCCATCTTTCCTGTTCTTTTATCCACTCCCTATTTATCTTCCTCCCTCATTCCCTCTCTCTTCCCCTCCTTCCCCTTCTCTCTTCTTAGTCCTTCTTTCCTCAGTCCCTTTCTTTTACTCTTCAATTCTCACCTCCACCTCATGCAGAGTAACTTCCATCTCTGTTCTTATTAGGTCACACTGTGAACCTCCTCCCACTCTTCTTCCTTTGAAATAAGATTCCAGCAGCCCAAGGACTCAGGATATATTTGAACACACATGGTGATAATATGCTTTCAACTCTCCTGGTACAACTGTTATTGTTTATTTATGTTTAATGATCCATTATTAATATGAGCTAAATGTAATTTTGCAGGACTTGCTTTCTGACAAGGTTCAGAGATGAAAAGTCTTATTTTAACTCTGGATAAAATGAGATCCTAGCAACCGCTACATATTGAAAAATTGATGAATCTCAGGCCCATTTCAGATGTCACTTCTTTATGGGGGCCTTCCCTGATTCACAAGTGGAAGCAGTGTCTGAAATCCCACCATACTTTTCAGCATACTTTGCTGAATCTACTTCACACTTTTTATCCTTTGTTGCAGTTTATGCAGGCCCTTTTCCCCTTTGGATTTTTAAGCTTAAGAACAAAGTCTATGTCTTTTTTTTTTAATTAAATCTTTATTGTTCAGATTATTACATTTGTTTCTCTTTTCCCCCCCCATAGTTCCCCTCCACCCAATTCCCACCCCACCCTCCGCCCTCACTCCCCACCCACTGTCCTCATCCATAGGTGCACAATTATTGTCCAATATCTTCTCGCACCCCCCACACCC